GTTAACAATATAGGGGCAGATCATCCCCACTCCAACATATGTTGCTGAGAAATCAAAGTAAAACCTGCAGATTACACGAGTGACTTGCTTGAATGATAGTTCTTCAACAAATAAAACTATATTCTTTGTGTGAACTATATTACTTCACTCATTAAAGAAGAAAATGTCAGAGTGATTAAACACACCTGTTTTTATATGCTTTCAGCCCAAATGTTGGGAAGTTTGCAAATCCACAATCTTCTTTAGCAATGAAAAACCATTGAAAGAAACCCCACAAGAAGCTAAAAGAAAAGAACTTGCCCAATGTTTGAACTTGCTTCCTGGAAAAGAAAAACAGATTAGATTACTGAAGTTTTCAAAATTTCTGATCCAATTAGAAAGTGTAATTGTTCTACCAAACAAAGGGAAGTGTAATTGTGGCAGTGATATTACTTTGCTAGCTTTGCTCCTTCAGGGGTGTGGAAGCTGTTGATAAGATGAGCAGTTGCAGTACCACTTGGATATGTCAGTTTGAAGTCTATGATCATGATCTGAAACAAAGGAAACAAAAATCTTGAGCTATGAAACCAAGTATATGTATATTTGCTGTAAATAATGCAAATGGGGTATACCATACCTTTCGAAGTGGCACCACTGAGAAGAGGCCAAGAAAGCTAACCATGAAAAGAAAGCCGATCATCCATCCTAGTGCTGGGTTCTTGTAGCCACCGTTGTCACCTGATTGACTGGCAATCCGTTCACTCATACCAAACATGTAACTCCCAAATCCCCCTATTTGCAAAGGATGGAAAAAAGAACTTTTAACAAAGCATTTCCAATCATAAAATGAAAAAATGACTTCTACCACATCTTCATGGGGAACAAATTTATTTTATTAGAGAAACATATAACAAGCAACAGGAAACTAACCATTCCAAAAATCTCTTTTGAGTCTGCTGTTTTACAATTTGGGGATCTTCAAATAGAAGGAGGATTCCAATATTAAAAGACATACGTACCTTATCTAAGAGTTAATATTTTACACTTCATACTGTAAAATAGGTTTTTCATCTCTTTCTACTTGCTAAAAAACAAAAGAAGTTTCTCACAAGGCAGTCAACATAAAAGAAAGAAATCAAATCTGTTTTAGGTACTTAATAATTAGCGTGCTTAGATACTACAGAGATTTAACATTCTAATCTTGATTCCGTCGTCTTTAAGTCAACAGAAACCAACTAGAGAATAAAAGATCAAATTAATGGTAAGTAGACAGGATTTTATTTTATTTTCGCTACAACCTTTTTCCGAGGATAAAGCTTTGAAAGAACATTTTAAAACTGCTAAAAGGAATTAATTACTCCTGTTGATGTTGATGTATTACCTTTGTTTAATGGTTAAGACCTCTTCACAATTTCCAAACTTTAAAACTGGACCCACTAACAACTCAGCAAATCACTATTCACTAATGGCAAACCTTCTGAAAGCAAAATCAAAATTAGTTTAAACATCAGGCTTACGGCAAAGCGGGGACCACTGGCGCCTACCACTATTTTTTTTTTTTTTTTTTTAAACATATTTTGCAAAAGACGGGTTTCAAACCCTAACCGAAGAGGGGAATGCACCGACAGCCAAATGACGGTAAGCCTCGAGGGTCAGGTGCGGCGCCTACCACTATTTTAGTGGAGCCTAATAGAAAAATGAAATGGCACATATACAATTTGATTTTGTATTTCGGTCAAAATTTGCCGAAAATTCTCAACGACGTTAATGATTCACTTTCTACGTCATTTGTTTTACTTCTGAAAGAAGACAAGTATCGTCTTACATTCGTTTTATAAGCAAGGTCGAGATCTTGACCATCTAAACCTTTTTTATTGGAACAAAATCGAAAAGAAAGGGAAATTTTTTGGGTTTTTATTTTCTCATATAAAATTCTTAAGAGCATTTTTTGTGATGTTTTTA